TTTTTTTTGCCGGCCGTGGAAATGGAGGAATCTCCAAGCGCGGGGATTCTTGACGGTGGAGAGATACGCTTGGCAGTATGGCAAGCTCATGCTATGACTGATCATACGATAATAAAAATGAAAATAAACTTGGCAATTGTGATAAACTTGAACGGACAACTTGGCAGATGGCAAAAGTACAGATGATCGCATTTTGACTGTTGTGATGTTGGATGTTGCACTTGAGAATAGATTCACGAAACAATTGAAGATGCATGTCTTGAAGAATTAATTAATTATTTGGAGTCAAGGTCAATTGAGGAGGCATACGCTTAGAACTAAGCATAATTAGGCGTAGACCCAACCACTTATCCTCATCAGGCCATGTCCCCGAAGCCTCAACCGCGGCGTGTCCTCCCCTTCAAGAGCCTCAACCTGAGCCGCAGACTAAACAAAGAGCCTCACCAACTCCAACGCCAATTTTGCCTCCAACATCAGACATCATCACTGAGATTTTAATCCGCGACCAGAATGACGGTGTTTTTAAAGTACACGGACTTGTATCCGGGGGATCGTCAACGGTAAGACATTATCGGCCAACCTCATTATATGGGGCCCCAGATTTGAGGGACCGGACCCTCCATCCCCAGTTTTCAACTCTCATCCTCGACGCTGTTTTTCTTGGTCCCCCGGACTTGAGGCTTGGCTTGAGGGGGATGGGATGGAGAACGGACGGTGACCGCGATGCGGGGTTTTAGACTGTTTCTGTGGTTATAAAACTTGGGTCCCGTTTTACTCTTCGTCCTGTCTGTGCCTCTCATCCCTCTCTGCCCTTTTGCTTTGACTATCTACTTGTTAAGCATACCCGGGCCACCTCCTCCAATTCTTTACTTCTTATTCTCAATGGCTACTCCCAATGAGAAAGTAGGCGGTGACGCTCCCGTCGCAGCTCCTGCACCCAACACCACAGGAGATGTCAAGGCCGATGACGCCTCAGCTATTGAGAAGGAACTTGCGTCCGTGGAAGAAGGCTACATGAAAGATGAAGGCCGACTTCCCAGTCCTGAAGAGCAGATTGATGCTCTGGGAATTCCGAACTGGCGAGAGCTGGAGAAGAAGATTGTTAGACGTCTTGACATGACGCTCATGCCTTGTGTTTGGTGTCTTTACTTCTTCAATTATCTTGACAGAGCTTCTATTGGTCATGCGCGATTGAGTTCTTTTGATGCGGACTTGGGCCTTGTCGGATCCAACTTTTCGTCTGCTGTTTCTATTCTTTCTCTCGGTTACGGTAAGTCGACTGTCAATTTATCAGTGTGACTGCGCTAACAATTTTAGTCCTTGGTCAACTTCCCAGTAACATGCTCATCACCAAGATCCGACCCAGTATCTACCTCTGTCTCATGGCCATTGTCTGGTCTGGTGTCAGTGTTGCTACTGTCGGAGTCTCATCTTACTCTGGTCTCATGGGTGTTCGTTTCGCTCTCGGTCTTGTCGAGGCTCCTCTTCTTCCTGGTGCCATTTACCTTCTTGGTTGCTGGTACACAAGAAAGGAGATTGCTTTCCGCATGGCTATTCTTTACTCTGCTCAGACTATTGCTTTCTGCTCCGCTGGTCTCATTGCCGCGGCCACCTACGCTACTCTTGAGCAAGCGCACGGTCTTGCAGGTTGGCAGTGGCTTTTCATCATCCTTGCCACTGCAGGTGCTGGCTCTGCTATGATTTGCATCTGGTTCATCCCCGATTATCCCACCTCTACTACTGGAAGTGCGATGTGGACTATGACTGAGGACATGCGAAAGGTCGCTGCTGCTCGTGTCATTGCTGATCGACCTTCTACCACCGAAGCCAAGACTGGTGCATGGGAAGGACTCAAGCTTGCTGTCCGCGATCCCAAGCTCTACATCCTGACTCTCATGAACATCACCATCTCCGCTGCCTACGGATTCTCCAACTTCTACCCTTCAATTGTTCGTGGTCTTGCCGCCGATTGGGGTTACGGTCCTGTCATCGCTCTCGTCCTTACTGCACCACCCTACATCTTCGCTGCCATCGGATCTTACATCAACGCGTGGCACTCCGACAAGGTCAAGGAGCGAGGTCTGCATTACGCCATCCCCGTTGCTGTTGCTTGTTCCGGTTTCATCATCTGTCTCGCAACCACCGACGCACGCGCTCGTTACGGTGCTTCCTTCATCTACGTGGGCGGTATGTACATCGCCAACCCTCTCATCATGGGTTATGTCAGCGGTGCCTTGGCCAAGACACCCGAGAAGCGAGCTGTTTCCGTCGCTCTGTGCAACTTGTTGTCTCAGATTGGTAACTTCACTGCGCCTTTCATGTTCGTTGCCAAGGAGGAGCCTCGCTACATTAGTGCTTTCATTGGTATGATGGCATTTGGTCTTGCTTCTAGTGCTTGTGCTATTGTTCTCAAGATTTGGCTTACCAGGTCCAACAAGAGACTTTTGCGGGAGGCGCAGAGGAATGGTACTGTTTACCAGCCTTATTCGACGTAAGCATTGGGTCCAGACTCCGTGCGCTGGAAGGTCATGGGGTTTGGGGTAGGAGGTTATAAAAGAGGTCAATTAGTATTGGACTTGGTCCATATGGAAAGCGTTTGCTTGTGGAGATGAAGGTATCAATGAACGACTATGTATCTTATGAATAAATGTCTGCCTTCTTTCTCAACTATTTTTGATGATATGTGACATGTTAATTCCTGGTGAAACCTAACCCTGCTGAGGTCGATACTGGGTTTGAAGTGTTGACAACCAGCTGTTAATTCCTGCATACCATCACCTTGTCGCTGTCAACTTTATACATTCAATTTAATTTTTACCCGATCCATTTACTTCAACAATCACACTCACTCTCATCAGCTTATCTCACAATGACCACAATAGTCGCTCCATCAAAATTAATTCCATTATCTCAGCAAGCTCACAACGTCACACCACATAATATAATAATGTCAACTGATATGACTACATTCTCACCAAATCCCGTCAAAAGACCTTAACATACCACTACCCAAACCCCCACGCTTATATCCGTCCCCAAACCCGAGTCTAGACTCTTCTTCCCCGCATTCAAAGTCGTCCCATCATTCGTGGAACCCTCTCATGATCGATCTAAACCAAACACAGTAATCCGATCAGCCCATCATCACACTTCATTTATACTTTGTGACTTCGCATTGCCATCTCTGGACTTGTTAATGAGGGGAACCTGGCATCTGCGTCACGTTTACAGCTTCGTGTTGCCGAGGGGGTGATTGTTTACTGCTTGCATAAAACCCCCTCTTCTCCTCTGCAATCTGTCTTCTACCATTTACTCATGAACTGAACTTCAATATGTCTTCGCAATCTATCAAAGCTGTTCGCTATCATGGCCAAAAGGATATTCGTCTAGAATCTATTCCTCTCAAGCCTTTGGAGCCTGGATCGGTCCGCATCGCGCCTAAGTTCTGTGGTATTTGTGGTACAGATGTGCACGAGTATCTTGGTGGCAATAACCTCATTCCCAAACCTGGCTCCCCACACGGCATTACTGGCGAGACAGCACCACTTACTCTGGGTCACGAATTTAGTGGCATAGTTGAAGAAGTTGGCAGTGAAGTCACACGTCTTCAGAAGGGTGATCGCGTTTGCGTGCAGCCTATCATTTACGACAATGAATGTGGTTCGTGCAAGCGTGGTCTCGTGAATTGTTGCGACAAGAATGGCTTCATTGGGCTGAGTGGTTGGGGTGGAGGTTTGGCTGAATCAACTGTCGTCCCGCAAGATGCTGTCAAGAAGCTCCCCGACAACGTCTCCCTTGAAGTTGGCGCTCTTGTCGAGCCGCTCGCTGTCGGATGGCACGCTATCAAAATCTCACCATACAAAGAAGGTGACGCAGCCTTTGTTGTGGGCGGCGGACCGATTGGTCTCGCTGTTGTTCAAGCTCTTATCGGACGAGGATGTAAGAACATTATTCTTAGCGAAGTCAGTTCCAGACGACGAGAATTCGCAAAGAAGTTTGGTGCTCATCACGTCTTCGATCCTACGAAAGACGATGTCGTGGCGAACGTTAGGAAGTTAACGGGAGGAATGGGTGCAGATGTTGGTTTTGACGCTGCGGGTTCGCAACATGCCATTGATGCGGCGTTTGATTGCTTGAAGGCTAGGGCGGTATTGGTGAATATCGCTGTGTGGGAGAATAGGGCGCAGTTGAACATGAATCAGATTGTGTTCCGAGAGAGATCTTATGTTGGATGGTAAGTTGTCCTCAATGTGCCAAGGGACCAATGCTGACAGTTTTGTAGTGCGACGTATGCTCTTGGGGATTTTGAAGAGGTCATTGATGCTTTGTCGAATGGCAAGATTACACCTGAGGGAATGATTACTAAGGTCATTAAGATGGATAAGGTTGTTGAAGAGGGTTTCTCAACGCTTATTAACGACAAGGATAACCATGTCAAGATTCTGGTGGATGTAAGTGCTGGGGTATAGCGAAAGACGAGTCTTTAGTGGTGCTTGATACATTTATTCATTCTAAATCTCGACCAACTTGATACCATTTTTTGCAGCGCCTAGTAATCGCTATCGTCAGAGGAAACCTCCTCGACGTTAATACTAACTGCCATCTTAGCGTCCTGTACCCGCTTCATCTGTTCCATCCGAGCAAGTTCTTCAAACTTTCTCTTAACATCATTCCTAGGGACAGGCGCTTTGCAGAGACCCAGCTTAGCCAAGGAACCCCAGAACAAAGTGTGCATATAGTAGTACAGGTTGACACCACCAAGGTAAAGCACTGGTATAACGACCATAGGGACGTTGCCAAACAGTCCGTGGCGGCGAGAGATGGTTTCCCACAGCTCACCAGTAAGAGTCTCGGCAGCGCGATCAGACTTCCATGGTCCGACGAGGCGGAATTTGGTGTTGAAGGCGGCACCTCCAGCCCAGATCCACGGTAGTCGCCAGCCCTTGGGTGTATAAAGCGCGATGCGGAGGATATCTGTGAAAGAAGGAGCAATGTCCATGTCCTTAGCCAGCTGGTACGCGTAGCTATCGTGCTCAACGCCATATGTTACACGAGCACTGGGAGCGTGAATCACACGGTAATGCCACTCGTCATCCTTGAGGAGGGGTCGAGGAACACGGTTGAGAAGATGAGTGGTGAAAAGCATAGACTGCATCTCAGCCAGAGGAGGAATAGCGCCAAAGCCAGGACGGATAAACCCAATGAAGCCGATTGTTGGATCATCGGTAGACCAGATCTGACGAACGTGCGCATCGTGAGATACTGGGTATGCTTCACGACCAGCGTTGTAGTCCGTATTGAGGAAAGGAAAGTGTGGAACATAGCCAGTTGCCAGAATAACCATGTCTGGTTTAACGACTGATTTTTGGATGAGTTTCGCTTCTGGACGGCCAGTGTCTGGGAAGTGTGCTACTCCATCAGGTGTAAAGTGCGATGGGAAAGGTGCGACGTCGATGGTGCGCTTAGCTGGTTTGATGGCCGTGTTGAAGAAGAATTGACGGATGCGCGTCGTTAATGGCCATTGTGTCGGTCTCCAAGGGGTGGAAACGTTGTTCTGGATACGTTGCCAGCCCTTGTTCCAGAATACTATACTAGTTAGCTATGTTCCAACAGGACAAGTAATTTGACTTACATCTCGAGGCATGGAATCGATCACTAAAGACCTGTCCAACCCACTGATCCACACCATACTCTGAACCACCACAAATCCAACACCCAGCAGGCAGAGCCAAAAAGTGATAATAGTCCCAGACAATCATGGTATCTCTCACCATAGGATGAACATACATGCTATCAAAAAGCGTGACTTGACTAACATCAAGCGGCAACTGCGGTTCTTCGAAATCTTCATCGCCGAACAGCCACGGCAAGAATCTTTGACCTGGTGCACGTTTGGGCGCTCCGATCCAGCCGTCGCGGTGGCAGAAGACTACGCGTTTGGTAGGTGATGTGATGGCGAGATGGCACATGTCGCATCCTGTTTCGCCGCTGCCGAGAACCATGATTGTTTTTCCTTCGCCGAGTTGCGATCGAGTTTTGAAGGATGATGAGTGAACAACTTCGGGAACGTGCTCGATGCCAGGGATTGAGGGGATGTGCGCTTTTGAGTGGACGCCTGAGCAAATAGCGATAGCATCACACTCCCACTCTACCTCTTCCCCATCAGGACCTTTATACTTAACAACATGCTCACTTGTATCTCCTCTCCTTATCCCAATGACAGGTGTACTCAGATGGATATCCTTCCAAAGATCAAAATGCGTGGCATACTCCTCAAGATACTCCCTATATCGTTCCGAAGAGAAAAAGTCATTGTCTTCAGGGCGAGGACGGAAGTCGGAGAATGTAGTTAGGAATTTGGACGATACGAGCTCGGCATCTTCGTAGACGTGGTGGAAGAAGACGCCGCCGAGTTTATCGTATGATTCGAAGAGTTTGACTTCGAAGGGTTCGATGGAGGGGAAGTGGTTGTGTGCTGTTTTGAGGGTTTTGAGTTGGACGAGGCCGGATGGGCCGCCCCCGATGATGGCGACGCGCATGTTGAGAGTATCAAGACTATCGATGCACAGGAAAGAAAAGAAGAACTAAACAGAATATCTAGCTTCGATCAGTCGTCCCAGACGTTCTTTCAATAAAAGAGCAAAAAACAGCAGAACAGAATCCAGGGTCCAAAAGACAGCGCATCAACCACCTCTTAATTTCCCTCCATCCCTACTAACCGATTGGTCTTTAGTCTTCACTCGGAGCATTAAAGAGGGGAGTGTGAGTTACATGACTGACGTGGAGCCGGACCATTGCTCCATTGCAGGATTAGTTCCAACGGACAAACGTTAATGTGGGTTGGTATTGTGGGTTGAAGTTATACTCGGTTAGGAATGGGTCGGTAGTGTTAGCCAGGCTTGTTGTTGTGAACCGGGATTGCCGAGCGAATGGCGGCAGTTTTTAAGAATCACATGTTAATCGGTCATTGGATGAGCTAGCAACTGACTTTTGTGTTATTGAGGCTACTGGAGATGGTGTCAACATAGGAAGGTCGGTCTTGAGATCGAGTTGACTGATTACTCAGTAATGGTTATGGTTCTCAATTGGCTGTCTCGGATATGACCCACCACGACCCGGGGACCAGGGTTCAGGGTTCCGGGTATGTCAAAGGCGGGTAAATGATTCCCGTATTTAGACAAATGGAAAATGCATGTGAGAACTCTCTGTCATTTGCATGAACAATTAAGTCAAAAGTTCATTTGTGAGACCCTTTTATTGATTGGTCGAAAAGAATTGTGGCTTCAACGTTGAGTGAGACGAAACCTTCGCCGCGTCACGTTCAGTCATTGAACCAACTCGGATCAAAATTGAGCTATAGCATGGATGAAAGCAATCTGGTAAACGTAACTTGCTACATGGAACCCAACTGCAGACTCGTCTCTCAACCAATTAGCGTCCGGTATGGTGTAGTGGCTAACATTTCGCGCTCTCATAACCTGAGGGATCAGTACCGCGGAGCCCAGGGTTCGATTCCCTGTACCGGAGTTTCTTTTTTACATTTTGCCCGCAATCGCTGCTCTTCAATTGGTCAACTCCACCTAGATAAACTTTCAACGCATACAAACAGGACTGCGGAAATGTCCACCAATGTTTGAATATAGGATCAAATTAAGAATATTAGCTTCTGACACATTGAGGTTGGAAACTAATTTTTTTAGGCAACGTAGTTTACGTATTAATTCATTTAAAGCTAGAAAGTATGATAAATTCTAATTACGCAGTTTCACAGTCATTTCTTCATGTGTATTATTATCAAATCCTCAACCCTGATAGCCGCGACACATCAACTCACAATCGAACACCTCCGAACTCCCTCGCCATCTCCTCAATTTCGACCGCGTGCCTTACCCCTTCAACCGATACATGATTCCTCCCACCAATACGAGCACCACACTCTGGACACAATGCCACCTCCATCGCCATGCCGCAGTTGTTGATAGTAAATGGGTGACCATTGGCGCAGGTGTACCAGTGTCCTGTGCCGGATAACTCTCCCATCGATGCCGCGTAGACTTGTCTAAGCTCCTCGGCTGTGACGGGACGGTATACCCCTCCGTTCAAAGCTTCCTCGGCAACATCGATATCATTCTCGAGAGCTTTGGCGGACTGGTTCTCCTTCACGATTCTTCTCGCCTGCTGAACGTGATCAAGGCCTTCATCTCGTAGTTTTTCTAGTGCACCAGGGTCGGATGCCGGGGTTGGCGATGGTGTTTCAGCTCCAGGTATCGCGGGGTTAGGTGGTGTAGAGGCGAGCGAACGGGAGAAAGCACACAATTGAGCAAAAAAGATATGACCCTGAGCCTCTTCGCGTGGGTATACCGCTTTTTTTGCCCCTTGGATTAAGGTGTCGCAATCGCGCATGAAGGGTGATAAATCGAGCTTGACATTCAGCTTAGTGAGATATGACTTCTGGTCAAGCAAAAGTCGAAAGAAATCAGAGAGGATTAGCACATCGCACTTCAACAGTAAAGTAGAAGCGAGAAGCGATCCTTTCGCTTGGATAACAGATTCATGGTAGTGAAATTCGCTTTGCCCGCCATGGTGGAGGTTGGTGTGCCTAACCAGGTCTGCAACACGCTGGAATGGCTGTTCTTCCTTTTGGACTTTGCTGGTGTACGACGCGACGTCCTTCCGCATGTTGAGCATGGAATCGTATCTCTTCTCGGTGTATTCTCTCAAGCATTGTAGCTGCCTCTGTCGCGAACCTCCCATTGTCAAGTTTCCGACTGCTCCAGACTTTGGATCCCGGATAGCTGTCGGCTGCATAGCGGCAAGGTGTTCCTGCTCGGTGATAAGCTTTGCGGCAAGTAAATGATACTTGGCATTAGACCAGGAAATGAACTTCTTCGTAGCCTCGTCAAGCATAGCCCGGCGCACAATGCGACCGTATCTTGAAATGCTACGGAGAGGTCCACGACACGTCGGACAGTTTTTGACGCCCTTATTTTCCATAGCGAACGGCTCTGAACTTCGTAGTATCAGCTCAGGGATACCATTAGTGTCGAGCTTGTAGTGTGCTGCCATATCCATTTGTCCATCCATGGATGAGACAGTGAGGAAGTGGCCACAGTCTGGGAAGATGCAGGGTTCTTGATCGAGATCTATCTCTTGATACTCTTTCATCTCGAGAAAGTCAACACAGACAGATTTCACCTCATCTGTTGCACAAACTTGGCAGAACTTCGAGGTCGGGCAAACTTCTCCACAAAGAGATGGGCCTGCAATGATTAGCGAGGGGACGAAGGTGCAAATCACAAGAATCACTCACACTGATGACCACACTCTAGTTTCATCTCGCACCTTAAAGAGCAAGGCACCCAGTTACAAGGAGCAGCACACGGGGCCGTACACCTGGAGTGAACACATCTTGACTCACAGGTTGCCTGCGCACAAGGATCACAAGGCTCGCTACAAGCCTTGCTACACCTCGAGTGGCTGCACCGTACTTCGCATCGTTCCTTGCATGGCTGACAAGGTGCATCGCCGTGACAGCTCTGAGAGCAGTTGTGTTGACAAGTCGAATATTTTCGGCCGCAGCGCTGGTTGCATATGCCGTGGTTTTGTTCCGTGATCTTTCCGTCTTTACGGGTGTTGCAGCGAAAGCAGCTGCTGGTACAGCTATGTCCACAGGTGCGATGATTTCCGCAGGCAGAAGTACATTTGTAATCGGAAGTAGTGACGTCTTGGTGACAATTGACGCGCACTTTATGCTCACAGCCTGGCACATCCTTCGTGACCATTTCCATACAACGGACAGCCGCTGGATCTTGGGCTTCCCAACATCGCGGCGAAGATAGTCGATGCCCGCAAGGGAGCAAAATGGCATTCTCCAGTTTGACAAGGCATTTATTGTGACAAGGGTCTCCGCAGCGAAGAGGACAAGCGTGGCTGCATCCTTTTTTGGGACGTAGACAGGGTGCAAGGCACTTGACAGCATGATGCAAAGTATCTGAGTGGCATCTCCCAGTGCAAGGATGCCCACAGGCCAATCTCTTGTCGCATGCAAGCGTACATCCACTTTCTGGAGAGAACTGCAAGAATTGCTCAGGACTGGACACGCTTATCGGGGTAGTCGGATGTCTGGCACACTGCAACTCGAGCTTTGTGCCCAGGTTCTTCTCGGAAGCCAATATCTTCATGACACCTGCCCACATTGGAACCTTCTTGTACGAGCTACTGTTTCCTATAATGTACATTCCATGCTTAGCGCGCGATAGCAGAACATTAATGCGATTCGATGTTTTGAGGAAGCCGCAGTCTCCTTGGGCATTACTGCGGACCAAGGATATGACCACAACTTTAGCTTCCTCTCCCTGGAAGTTATCGACAGTCGCAACTCTGACGCTCTTGAGGAGAGTTGTTTTACTGAGAGGAACACCCCGTGGTCTGCCAGTGCCACTGCCCTCGTCCTGAGCGGCATCGAGTTCATCTAAATCCCGATCATTGATGTGAATCTCAAACATGGATTCCATCCTACGGCGCAAAAGCTGTAGCTGTCCAAGATACGGCGTGAGAACCGCGATGTCACCTGGTTTGTACGCGCCTTGCTGAGAGAGGTGGGAGACCAAAGCAGCGGTCATGTCAACTTCGAAGCTATTGGATCGGGACGTGCTCTGGGAGCTGTTGGTCTCGTCCGCATTTTCAGGCTGATCGTGGTGAAACCAAAATAGACGACGCTTCATACCCATGACTTGAGGGTACTCAGCTACAGCGTCTGCATCATTGAGCGATGGATACAAGGTTGAGCGAACTAACTCGGCAATTGAGGGGTGCATTCGTCTCTGAGTCTCGAGCATACTGTAGGGAATCCGCAAGTCGGTGTCATGGGGAGGCTGAACCAGTCTCTCGAATAAAGACACGTCGAGCGAGTATTGTTTACCGCGAGGGTTTGTACTCTGCAGATCGTAATTCTGTATCTGAGGGCGAAGCTGCAGATGATCACCGATAAGGATGGCATGCTCAATGGAAGGTAAGAGTGCAGTGAGAATATGTCCCTCGAGAACCTCACCGGCTTCTTCGCAGAGCATGACCTTGCATCGCATTTTTCGAAGGAGGCTCAGGTTCCTGGCTAGACCAGTCGTTGTGACACCGACAATATCTGCATCGTTCAGACAGCGCATATCGACGTCGCCACGGATTTCGTCTCTGTGTCTGACAGAGTCGTTGTAATCTTGATTGAGCCTGGCGAGTTTGGCTATGATCGGATCTCTGATTGCTTTGATCCAATAACGATGGAGTAGAATCCGTTCATGGTTGTTCAAGCTGTTTAATTGAGCGCGCTTCAGGTGTTCAATTGGTCTGGGGTTTGTTGCAATATGTAAACCGCTTTGAAGCCATCGATCAATGACCATCTCTGACTGGTGAATGACCGTCTGCCACCCGTCCTGATCCTCTCCAAATAATTCAGCATGCTGTCTAGGATACTCTGAAGCCAACAGGAACTTGATTGCCTTCCAAGACTGGCAGTCAGCAAGTTGTTTGAGCAATTCTTTTCCATCCTCGACATGTTCGCGAATATCCTTTTCTGCCTCCCAGAGACTGCTCTTCTCCGACTTGGTGAGGGGCATTCCTCTGGCGATGGCGCGCAAGTTTAGATTCTGGAGCCGTTCCGATTTGGACCGAGATCCAATTCGAATAATTCTTTTAGTTCCGTCATCAAGGAGGTGCTCAAGGAGCTGATCCAAAGCGTGATTAGTGTAGCAGACACATAGAATCGGGCCAAGCTTTGCGGTCTGTTTACTCTTCAGAAGAACTTTGATGATCTTCTCGCCAGTGAAACTCTTGCCTGTGCCTGGAGGTCCCTGTATGAGAGATAATCCCGTGGTCAGAGTGTTCAACAGCGCAGCAGACTGTGTCGGGTCGAGGCTGGACTTGAGTGAGAGCGCCTGTGGGGTTATTGGTGACCGTGGGTCAATTCTGAGAGGAGTTTTGTCATTGGTAAGGCAGCTCAGATCGAAAGTAAAACCGGTCTTTCGTGCATACTGCGGTAATCCAATGTCAGCGTCAGATGGCGTATCATCTTTAGGCGCTAACAGGTTTGCGAAAGGGATGTTGGGCTTGTCATGCATCTTCTGAAGAGCTGATAGACTGTGCTTAAACGAGTCGAGCAAAACTCCAGGAAACTCAACCAGATACCTCGGTGGGTGAGACTTGATATCCTGATACCATTTCAGGGCTAGATTTATGTCGCTTGTTGTCGGGTCCACAAGCTTGAGATTGACAAAAAGAAAGTCTGCATCGCTTGAAAGATTTCTCACTTGATCATGAGGAGCATGACCTTGGTCATTGTCGTTGTCAATTTTTCGAGCATCTTTATCGTCTTTAGACCTCATCGTGGTGTCGGATACAACACAGAACAGCATCGAACCGGCGACATCGAACAGACATACGAGCGCTCCCGCTTGTAATCGCTTGGACTGTGCCCACCAATCTTTTCGTTTCTTAGCATTCAGCTTTCTGACGACTGGAAGCTGGTGGCAACAAATGGACATCTCCAACCCCCCAACACGGTGGAGATTGACGTCGATAGTCAGAGGGTTCTCGTAGGTATACGTTCTGAGAGTGTTGGACTGCCGACCTTTGGTGTGTTTAGGGTCTCGGGCAATTTCTAGTACGTCGCGCACAGCATCTCGGAGCTGACCGACAGTGTCCTCTCTGATGAGGCGGAACTCTCGATCGAGGCGACCACGAATCCCCTTGACATGCCAACTGGAGGGGTTGTTGGTAGGAAGATATTCCGCACGAGGGGAATTGATCTCATCGTAGGTAGGCATGATTTTGATCTTGGTGATGTCGACATGATCATTGTTGTGGCGAGGTCCATCAGCAGACAGTGTGCCTGGCAAATCATGTCGGAGCACAAAGTCTTCCCTTGTGAGTAAGACACGACGACTAGGATCCAAGACTGGAATATCCTTGCCGGTACCTAATCGTTGTTGCATGTAGTCGATATACTTGGAGGCTTGTAAATGAGAGAACTCGTCTTTCTGACCGTGGTTACTCTCTACGATCTGAGCAAAGAGCTCGACAAGCCTGTCGCATTCCGAATTGACAATGTTTCTGGTGTTGCAGTCGATGACTTTGGACAGCACGCTGAGAGAAAGCGCTAGTACCTCCATCTGGGAATCATTCTGCGTAGGACTTAAGGGTCCAGTGACAAGTCCAATGATGAAGTTGAAGGTTCTGACCATGCGTTGGCCTCCAACTCCCAGTATGCAGTTGAACACGTCCGCGACTTGCTGCTCCAATACAGTCGAGTCCACCACGCGAGGGTGCGTGATGAGGGTGAATAGAGGTTTGACCTCAGTCTCCCATAGAGTGGCTTTTCCCGAATTGTCAGCCCGTGGAATGTGGACATCAGCCAGGTTCCGGATGAATGCCAACCCAGCGTCTTTGGCAAGAAGCTTTATGACATCCTGCACAGCGCCGATGTCACCGTCCATCATCTCGAGGCCTAGCTGGAAGAATCGGCTGACAACAGCAGTTGTCAACTCCGATGAGTTCCAGCCTAAGTCCCCCAGGTTCAGGATTCTCTTCCATTGACGTAGTTTCCCATCGGGAGCAGCGCCAGGAGGGTGGGCCGAGTTCAGCTGCGATGTTCGTAGCGGGGTAGAAGCGTCGTGTAGGAACTTGCAGCGATTACCGAACTTGCAAGTCCCCTGCTTAAAGTGAAAGCAAGGCTGGTTGGGGTTTCGAGTCCGAAAGGCGTGAGGAGCGTTTCTGGAAGCGTTAGTGCTTATACTGTAGGTTTGTAGAAGGACAGCTTGCCGCTGGATGTCTGCCATCTCGATCTAGCGTATAGACTACTGCGCGATAGCAATGGGAATGGATAAGTATGACAGATCGAAGGACCTTGAGATAGAAAAAAAGTGAGATCAGTGTTGCGGTTTCTCTCGGTCGGATGCTTGTCGGGTGGTACGTTGTATCATCAATAAAGTGACGGAAAGAAGCAGAACGAAGAGGAACGAGATTCACGGGAAAGTGCAGTCTGTCAAGTAATTACAGAAGAGGGGAACTCAATTTTTAGGCAGTCATGGTGCCCAAATGTGTGTCGCGCAAGATGAATGGCTAGACAAGACATGTTGGTCGGCCTCCTGCATGTTACGTCGGTTGGCCTCCAACGTATGGTGTTGGTCGGTCCCCTGCTGATAATGTTGGCCGCTTCAATCACAATGTGTAAAAACATCCTAAGAATTCGCTCTTTCCATTGTGACTGTCTTGTATTTCCATACCCTATTATTGCTTCCTGTACTGATTTCCGGACATGTCTCGCTTTTAATCTGATTTCGAGGGCCATGATAAAAAACTACGACAGGGGCACTGTAGCTGTATGCCACATCAACAATATTGCCTGATCTTATTCACTCATCATTCTTCCCAAAGATGCCATCTGGATTCTAGTCCATGTAGCTGTTTTCAAGCTTCTTTTGGTTTAATAAATAGGGAAGCAAGAAAAGGAAGCATGACGGCGTGAAGTTTGTGGCTTACAACTTTAGCTTCAATTGGCTACAAGGTGGTTCAGAAAACAATAGTCAAGGCTGAGCTGGGGCTAAAATCAATAGTTTTGCGGATAAAAGGTAGAATGACTCTTGGCAATTAATTCTGGACAAAGAATACAAGAAGATGACTTTTTTCTTTCTCTCTTCCAGCTTCGCTATCGATTTTGACTTTGTCACTCGTCCATAGGATGGTTTCCTCCTGACCGGGACCTCTACTGCAGCCAGCGAGGCCACTATTTGGTCCAATAGCGAAACGATCGCGACTGCAGAGAGCCAGGTAGCCACTTTGGCAACCAGCGAAATTTCCCATGAGCCAACCACTGTCTCCATGAGTCAAACCACGACAGAAGAAACAACAGCCTCGACAACCGAATCCACACTTACACCAGTCCCTCCCTACCTTCGAACTGGTCGCCCGAAGCCAATCGATAGGCGATGTTGTCATGCACACCGACGGCCGTCAAGTCCTAGTCAATACGGGCCATTTTCCATCTTCATGGTCGAGTTCAATCACCTACGACGAAGGTACAGAGTATCTCGTCATTAGGCTGCGTAGCTTATTTGCGAGTATGCAACGCAACGTCCTTTAGAGTAGTTACATTAATTTTTATTTTGCCTGTAATATACCCGTATAGTATTACAAACTTGCGACACGAAACCATTGAGATGAATTGAGCTCTTTTCTTTCTGGTCATTTTACTAACAGACCGGCCCGTTGCAATGACATCTCATTGTTACACGAGGCCATAGTGAGGCTGTGATCATGGCGTCGCTGGCCCAGCCTATGAGACGCTGACCAAAGTGCAAGTGACAATCGCGACCCCGCATCTGACATTATATGCCTCTCAGCATCTCGACTCAATTGCCTTCATCAATTTATGGTTTCGCAGGAAATTCCCGACTAAAGATTTCAAGCTCTATACGGTTGTTCAGGCAGAAATGTGGCTCATAAACACCTCCACAATTAAGCTCGAAAGAGCCAATCCCGACGATTTATCCTCAATGCCATACGCGATCTTGTCGCACACATGGGGCAAAGAGGAAGTCACCTTCGAAGACATGACCCAACAAAGCCCACCCACTCACATATCAGGGTACATCAAGATCTTGAAGACTTGTGAATTGGCACGACAGAAAGGCATTTCTTATGCATGGGTCGATACATGCTGCATCGACAAGCGTAGCAGCGCTGAGCTAGCAGAGGCAATCAATTCCATGTTCAGATGGTACAAAGAAGCAACTATCTGTTTCGCACATCTTGAAGATCTAGAACCTGTTAGTGAGAGCGGTGAGGATTATTACCAACTATTGCGTTATTGTAGATGGTTCACGAGGGGTTGGACTTTGCAAGAGCTCATAGCTCCGGAGCAGCTTGACTTTTATGACAGTGCATGGGGTTTTAGAGGAACGAAAGCAGAGCTAGGTCGGGTGATCTCTGGAATTACCGGTATTCAGATGGAAGTGCTGAGGAACACAGCATCTCTTGAGGATATTCCTGTAGCAAGACGCATGTCATGGGCTGCTAGCCGAAGCACAACAAGAGTGGAAGACATCGCTTACTGTCTTCTTGGCATCTTCGATGTGAACATGCCCATGATGTATGGCGAGGGTTTAAAAGCTTTTGAACGATTGCAGGAAGAGATTATCAAGCAGACGACTGACATGTCCCTCTTCGCATGGAAGGCGAAAGAATTGTCGCAAGAGTATCGTGGTATCCTAGCTCAGTCCCCCGCCGAATTCGCACACTGCCATCATCTTTCTCTCGCGCCGAATATGAGGACTGGCTCCGAAACAGCCATGACAAACAAGGGTCTCAGGCTAGAGACTTGCTTGGGCACTGGAGATATCCTCAATCTGGCTTGTCAACTACCAGATCATTCTAATGTTAAGCGCAACATAGGTGTCTATTTGACAAAGACGGCGAACGGATATGTCCGGTCTGCCCCTACGTATCTTTTTGAGTCGAAGGACACACATATTTGGGCTGGCGCGCGTCGGAAAACCTTTATACGCAAACGCGTCACCCCGTTTGTGTCTGAGAAACTGCAACTTGACTTGGCAATGAACATTGTTATCTGCCTAATTGTTAGCCCGGGATACAAGATACATACATTTGCTGCAAAACCGGCGGATTTCTGGGATGAAACTGGCCAATCCTTCATCACGGCCAATCATCCCAGCTTCACCGGATTTCTAGATTTTCAGGTTTCTGATTCTTCTGGTTCTTTTGTGTCAGACCGAATCATTGTGGCATGTGGTCTGAGGAGCAATATCAAGGGCTTAGGTTCATGGGCGGCCGTCTACTCAGCGAACCATCAGGACTCAAAAGCCATTATGGATTGCGTCAACAAGTATTATGGGTCGTATGGAGATGAGCTATATCTACAGGAGCTCCGATCGAGGATCCCTACCTGGGATGGCGATTTGGTTCATCAAGTCAGTGTGCCTTCTAGTGATGGGTTGCATGATCTGGTCGTTTCGGGAAAGGTGCACCAGAGTTCGAGGGATGGGACCAAAAGTATCCGGGTTACTGTCCTAGGTCGATGATAGATGGAAGGCGACGTCTCGAAATGGATCGCAATCTTCCTCTCAATCTCACGTGCCGTGACACAACCCAATGGTATCATTGACAGTATCATCTGCGGGAAATGGATCACAGCGAATGTAGACAAGATGAGAAACAAAAGATATATATACTGAGTGTAAAAAATAAAAATGCTATTAAATATAAAGTCGCATGCATCATTCTAAAATCATAAAAAGTGTAATCTATGTAAATGGCTGTAGTCGTGAGACATGCACCGCCAGCTCGTGTGGCGCGCGTTGATATTTCTGTGCTGTGTAGGTAATATTGCTCCATGTTCTTAAAGTGGAGGGAAAGCCTGCCTCGACAACGGGAAGAACAGAGTTCTGGTGATAATCCAAGTCGCGATGGACTGGTGGTTAGTAATGGGGTATCTGCTTATTGCTGCTGCTGCTGCTCCTCAGTCTTGCCAGCCTCCGCCTCAACAGGTTCCTGCCCGACAAGCGACTCCAGCTTCTGTCGGAACGAGTCATCGTAGTAACTCATCACCGAAGAAGCGCGATGCGTGGTATCAATTGATGTTCGCGTCGATGACACAGCTGGGTTGCTGTCCGTGGAGAAGATACTCTCGCGACCGCGCGCGGAGTTGTAGGTGCTCGAGTATGTGCTTGAGTGACTGCTAGAGTACGTTCGTGTAGGCGCGAGAAGGTGCTGCTTGTTGGCGGCGGTCATGTTCTTCTTCTCAAACATGGCTAGCTTGTCGGAGACGCTGCCGGCTCGCTTGGGGAGCTCGGCTAGGTCTTTGTTTGGTCGGTCGTTGTTCTTCTCCTCGAGGTTCTTGATCCAGGAGAGGCGGTCGCTCAGCTTGGAGGGTTGTTTGGGTTTGAGGCGGGTTACAGATGTGGAGTATGGGGTATCAGAGTTGTTGTTGTTGGTGGTGGTGGTGGTAGAAGGTGGTTGCATGGCTGTAGGAGCTGGGGCTGGAGCGACAGGCTTTCGCGGGATGGATTGGCTAACGCGAGGTTGAGGCTCGTCTTGGGGAGTGGTCGTGGAAGTCGTTTCGGTCTTGGTCTCGTCGGCTCGTGTAGGTGATCGGTCGACGATGCGAATAGTAGATCGTCTTCTATGCTCAGCAGTCCAAGGAGAAGATTCCTGGAAAGAAGATGGAGAAGCGACGTCAATCTTGGTAGTGGTGTCGTTATTAGAAGTGGCAGTGTCGGAGGGTCCTTCATTTGATGCTGGTGCTGTAAACATCAACTCCAAAGGCAGCGACTTGCGCTTGGTGCGCTGGGCAGGTTGGTGTATTAAATGCCGAGGCTCAACAGGTCGACCACGATCCAGCACACTGCGCTCCTCTGTGGGAGCTGTGTCTGAGGCAGTAAGATTTGCCAGCGCCGAAGCACGATCTTGCTCCGTCTTGAACAAAGCGGAGACATCGCCAATAGTCAAAGGCCTTGAGATATCCTTGGAGATACGACCTCGCGATCGCGGGGATTTTTGTGACTCGGAGAGATTGATGGCGGGGAGGGTAAGCTTGTCGTGGGAGGTAGCTGAAGGAGACTCGACGAGCCAGCTATTGGGAACGTGAAGGCCGTCGAGGACATTTGATCGGACCTCGAGGGGTTTGAAGTTGAGTTCGTCATTCTTCTCGTCAATGTCGATTCTGGTCTTTTGTTTACTGGGTTTTCTTCTGAGGATGAGCGTCGAGAACTTGTGAGCCAGAGGACGCCATATTGGCTTGTTGTCGCTGGATCTGACCATGTCGTAGCAAACCATAATTAATTGATGATAGATAAGATAGATAGAAAGAATAAATTGTTATATTATTAAGTGTAGGTACTGTAGCAGTAATAGCTGCTTGAGAAAAAAAGAACCGTTTGTTTACTTTTGGCGTGGCTGTGTGTGTGGAAAAAAGAGGAATGGAATGGGGAATTGTTTTGACAAAAAGGGGCGAGGAATGTGCTGCATTGTTTCGCTTAGGCGTTACCCCTTCATTGTTTCATTTCGCGTGTGTATTCTGGAGACGTTTTACTAGAGGGGGAATAGTGTCGAGCTTGTTCCTGGTAGAATGCGGGGCTTAGCGCATAACTCTGTGCGTCATTTGTTATGCTTTGCACCGGTCACGCCGATATAACGGTTGGAGGAACACTCTGGTAGGTGGTCAAGTTGTTTGGGATGAGGCAGTGGTGATACTTGATACGATACAGATATCAGAGGTGAAGCAACTAAAACATCAAAGCAACAGACATTTACAAACTGAGACCAATGAAGATATGCAACAAAGTGGGGCATATGCATACCTCGGTTAAAACATCTTCAACAAATAATTCACAGTCTGCTGTGCATTCAAGACATGTCATTCCAGAACACCCTAGAAACAAATCATCACCGTCGTCTAGCGAATTACTTCGTCTCACAGTCATCTCTTCTAAATGGACATGTCATCTCTTTTCCAACCAAACACTAGTCTAGTGATCAATTGCATGGAATGTTTAATGACTGTCAATCTTGTTGTCGTCCAAGCTCCAAATAATTCACGGTGGTCAGCCCTACGGTCGCAACGATTGACCCTGTTCATCCCGTATTAAGAGCGACCAAATATTCGATCTGATCGCATGAACATCTCAAGTTTAAATGCAGATGAGTTCATCGATCGATCTGTTCAAAGCTTTGAGTGTCATGGTGGTTAATTACCCTGAAGTGATGCCTGCTTGGCACACCAACCTAGATGAGGATCATCGCGTAATCAATCACTGTGACGAAATGACATTAGACTAGATTAGCTTAGAACTACCCTATTCTAGACTCTTTCCAGAACAAATTCATAACTGGTAGCTTCCACCTTAACCTTCAAGTCTTCCCTGACACCAGGCCCACAAGTCGCGCTTCCCACACCAGCAACCTTTGCACTCAAATTCAACAGGGTAGCTTCTTCCCTCACGAGATCAACCGGATGTTTCGCCTTCTCAATCGTCTCATCCGACAATCTTGTGCCTGCCCAATTGAATGTAGCTTCATCGCGTCTCGTAGCTTTTATTCCACGTCCTTGCGCGTTTGTGATGCGTACCCAGCGCGTGTCCATTCTGTTACCGTTACCTTGGGGTACGTCGTACGGTACTTCTAGCGCGTCAATTGTAGATGAGTAGATTCCAATTGCTTGGGAGGTTTGTTTGTCGGGGTAGGATTCGCCTGGTCCGCGACCGAAAAATGTTACCTCCGAGAAGGTTTTGGGGAGGCGGAGATTGAGACCGATGCGGGGAATGTCCTTGGGGAAAACACCTTTGGGTGTGAGATTGAGCTTCATTGACAAAACACCCGACGAAGAAATGTGGTAGTGAGTAATAATGTCGTAGCCCCATCCCAGAACTGGAGGCGCGAGATACGTCACCGTCTTGACAGTAACTCCATTGCTATCTTTCTGCAACTGGAAAGATCGCAATTGAGATGTCATTCGATGAACACCATAATCCTTCCACACAGCGACAGCGCTATCTTTGTCATTATCCGTAGGCGCGCGCCAGAAACAAGGATAAATTGCTGCGCGTGTTTTCGCGTCGACTTCAAGAAGGTCAGACCATTTTGTAATGTAGCCTCGCACGCGATCGAATTTGACAGTCCAATCTGCGCCCGAGATTTCCATCTCGGTACGAGTCTCCTTGACGTTGACATCTCCTGTGGTAATGACAGGAGCCGGGATGCTGGGTTGCTGATTGATGGAGAGTTTGTGCTGGAACCATGCTATCTCGTAACCGGCGGGCGCCCATTGAGCAGCATTTTTGAGTGTGAAGGAAATCTTCAAGAAGACTTCTTCGTCATGGTCGCGATATTGATTGAGATCAATTGAGAGAGGAAGCTCAGCAGTTTTCCACGGCTTCACGTCGGGAATGTCAACCTTGCCACTCTTAAGCACCGTCATTCTGCAAAAATCCACGTTAGCTCCATCTCAAAAATCTGGATCATCAAACTTACTTGTCACCCATCGCGACAACATCAAACTTCCCCTCCAAATGACCCAACCCAATAAAATCATACTCATTCGTAACAGTTACCTTTCCATCCAAAACTTCAAACCTAACAGGCTGAAACACCTTCCTCAATTCCACAAGACCAGGCGTGGGCTTATGCTCACTATCACAAAGCCCATCCATAACAAATGTAGAATCATTCGGCTCATCGCCAAAATCTCCTCCGTACGCATAATACCCATCTTTGTGCAAAAGGCCGTGGTTCGCCCACTCCCAGATGAATCCACCCTGGAGACGCTCGTATTTTCGGAATGCGGCCTGGTAATCGTCTAGACCACCTGGACCGTTACCCATCGCGTGCGCGTATTCGCAAAGAATAACGGGTTTCGTCCACTTGCCATCTGTAATACCGTCTGATTCGACGTGGCGCGACAGACGTTCTTGGTCAGGATACATGTACGAGTACATATCCGTCAATTGAGCCTTGATGTCGCCTTCGTAGTGAATAAGACGATCATCCACACTTCGCGCGTATTCAATCATGGCGACATGGTTAACACCGTAAAAAGACTCATTGCCCAACGACCACGAGAAGATACACGGATGGTTCTTATCTCGTTGAACCATCTGCACCATTCGATCAAGGTACGAATCGCGCCACTCCGGATTATCAGAAGTAAACTGCGCAGCCTTGGGAAAGAACTCTTCTTTACTTCCCTCATAGTCCAGATACGGTGCTGGCTCAACATGTTGCGTAACAACGTCGTAAAAACCATGACATTCGAGATCAGCTTCGTCCATGACCCAAAAGCCTAGTTCGTCTGCAAGATCGTACAGCCAAGGTTGGCCTGGGTAGTGGCTTGTTCGTAGGGCGTTGATGTTGTGCTGTTTCATGAGGATCAGGTCTTGCTTGACGAAGTCGTAGGGTACGGCGCGACCGTGGATTGGATGGTGATCGTGTCTATTTGTGCCGCGGAGGAGAATGGGTGTGCCGTTTACGCTAATGAGGTTGTTCTTCAATTCGATTTTGCGGAAGCCGACGTTTTGCGTGATTTTCTGGAGTTCCTTGTCGCTGGGGCCGATGAGGGTGATTTCGAGCTGGTACAGATATGGACTTTCGGCTGTCCACTTCTTAGGGTTCTTGACGGCAATCTCAAGTTTTTGCGACGAAGAATTGTTGGATAAATCCTTTGGAGTCCTGGCTACTTCGGTCTCACCATCGCGAAGAACGAGAACGAGCTCGAGAGGCGGACAATTGGCAGAGCGATCCACGGTCGCGGTGAAGTCGAGAGTGGCGTCCTGGTATTTCTCATCAAGATTCGTCTTGACGAAGAAATCTTCAATCCTGGCAGTTGTTGGAAAAGCCAGTAGCGTGACATCGCGAAAGATACCTGCTCTCGTTAGATGCATGTAGTCATAAAGGGAATAAGCATACCTGATAACCACCACTGATCCTGATCTTCAATATACGACGCCTCGCACCACTGATAAACTCTCACAACAAGTTCATTCTCACCATCTTTCTTCATAATACCCGTAACATCATACTCAGCCGCATTCCGACTTCCCTGCGAATACCCCACAAACTGCCCATTCAGCCAAACATGATACGCACTATCAACACCATCAAACCGAAGTCTAAGCTGCGACTCACTATCCCAATCACTAGGAACCGTAAACTTGCGTCGGTATGTTCCCGTGGGATTTTCAGTGGGGATGAATGGTGGTGTAGAGGGGAAGGGGAATTGAACGTTTGTGTAGTGAGGATGTCCGTAGCCTTGAAGTTGCCAGTGGCCTGGGACAGTGATGGAAGACCATTCCTCAGTGGAAGATGAGTCCTTGGGGTAGTCTGATGCTTCGAGGGGTGTGGGCGCGTATTGAAAGTCCCATGTTCCGTTGAGGAGGATGTGAGTTGGTGGTAACCAGTAAGCTCTCGCCGGAAGACGGTTTCTCTGGATTACCTCCAGGTTTTCGTAGTCGGGCTTCTCAGTAGATGCATCCATTTTGACCTGCAATTGAATTCAATAGATTTAGGGTTTTGCTCGATTGTCGCGGGGTAAGACATGATCCTGTTAAATGTTCTATCCAAAGACCATGTAATGGCGCTTACAGTGCTCCTCGCGCTAAGGTAGTGGATTCAGCGGGTGAACTTTCGGGGAAGTGATAAGACGAGGTCCACTTTCACCGGCGTTGACCGTTTGGATGGGGTAATATTCGGACCTCGGCCATGTCTCCGGGTTTCGGAGCCGATTAATTTTTGACTCGGTAGCAATTCTTTGAGAATTCTCTGGCAGGTCAAATTGCGGGCTCAATTCAATTGGTGTTGCCCACAGCCACTGAATTCTAACCATTGCCAACACACTCACGCGCACATAAGTCTGCTGTGCCGTAGCATTTCTTTTTATTTTATTCTATGGTAGTCACGAGATGAAAATATCGTGTAGGTGATATAATTAGACAGTGGTAGGTGGGATTGTCAATTGCGCGCTTGTTACACGATGTAAGTGTTGACAATAACACATGCGTAGATATAAAGGCGTACTCAATATGACTTCAACAATTGGCAGACAAAATCGCGTCATGGTGAATTGACAAGAGATTGTTAATTAAATCATTTGATCATACTAACATACTGCAAAATTAAACTAATACTTAAACCTACGCAAGAGCAGAACGCTTCTCAGTCTCAATAACATGAACACCCTTCTCCGTATTTCTCAGCACCTCACCAACAAGCCTATCACCCATCTCGGCACCATCCAACACCAAAGCCGTCTCCTCCAAACTCAATCCCCTTGTCTCAACAAACAAGAAATAAACAACAAGAGCCTCTACAGCAAGCCAAACATCATACGTGATGTAGTACTTCCACTTGGCATTCTCAACACCAATTGGATTAGCATATTGGTTGAAGATAAGCGCGCATGCGACGAAAAGGTTGTAGAGTACAAGACCGCGCGCGCGTAGGTTGAAGGGCAGAATTTCCACGACGTATGTTACTTGGAGAACACCCCAACCAGCGGTGAAGAAGACGTTGAAGAGGAAGATCATGGCTAGAACACCCTTGGCAATGCCACTAGGACCACCGGTGCCGTCTTCGCTTACGTCGGTTGATTGCTCGTATGTTGCTTGTAGGGCTGTCCATGTGATGTATGTTGCCAGCGTACCGAGAGTTGAACCGAGGAACAGAGTGCGTCGGGGGATTTTGTTGACTAGGAGTGAGAAGACGACACCCCAGAACAGACCCCAGATTGTCAACAAGGCGTTGATAAGGGTTTGGGTTTCTTGCGATCGGTAACCAATTGAGTTGAGGATGAGAGTCAGATAGTAACTGATCAAACCGTTACCACTCCACTGACTGAAAAATCCGACCGAGAGAATAATAAAAAATCGACGACGGTTTCCCTTGGTTTTGAAGAAAGAGAGATAGCTAGTCGTCGCCATAGCTTCATTCTCAAGACGAATCGCAGTACGGATTTCTTCCATCTCAATCGCAACAGCAGGATTACTGCTATCGCCATTGGCATGGTACTTGACCAACAACATCTCAGCCTCAGCATCCCTCTCCTTACTAACCAACCATCTCGGCGACTCATCAATGACAAAACAAAGACAAATCTGCAACACACTCGACAGCGCCTGCAAAATCGACGGAATTCTCCACGCCCAAGAATTTCCAATTCTGAACGTTCCGTACGTGATCCACGCAGCAGACAAAGCACCCAGACCCCAAAGAGTGTTGTAGATGGAGACCATGGGGGCGCGCTGCGTGGGGTATGCTAGTTCCATGATCAGAACTGGCGCGGCTGTGATGTTGAGAGCAAGACCGAAACCGAGAATGCCGCGGGCTGCGATAAACATTCCTGTGTTTTGGGCGCCGCCTTGGAGGGCGACTCCGATTAGCATTATGAAGGCGCCTACGACGAGGGCTGGGCGACGGCCAAATTTGTCACAGAAGCCGGCGCAGAAGGGGAGGGCTGCTAGTTGGCCGATGTTTTGGATGGCGTTGAGACTGATATGTTAGTTAATTGTTTGAAGAATTTATTTGGAGTGAACTTACATGGCGAGTCCTTGGGCATCGGGATGGTTGAACGACTCTTTCCAGGTATCCAGGCTCTGAAGGCCATTCATCATACCTAATTTGTTAGTCGTTGAAAATGAATGGGATGTTGGGGTACTTACTTCCATCATAACCAGTCGCATAACTGGAAATAAGAGACAAACACAAAATAGCATTGAGTTTCAAGATCCCCTTATTCCTAAACCAACCAAACCAGCCAGCAGCCAGCTGGTCATCCAGAGCAAGAGTAGCCTGTGTTTGAACCATCTTGTCAAATTGAACAATCTTCAAGTTCAAGTTCAAGATGTTTGAAAAAAGAGGGGAGACAAGGTAGTATTATCTATCAATGTCTCTCTGGTGGAACCGATTTATCCCCGCGATAGGGATTGACACTTATCCCCATGGGGGTCTCCGCTGTGCACGCGACCTGTGGCAGGGGATATGGGGGCCGGTGGTTTGGCCGGTGTTTACCGGGTGGTGATACGAGTCGGGGAAGAGAGGAGGGAGATCAAGGGTCCTGTGGGGGCCGAAGAACCGCGGGGATGGGTTGCTAAATTAGTTAGTTTGATGGATCAATTGACTTTGCATTATTTAATTTATTGCCATCAATTTCATCTGAACTGATTCAATGAGAATCAAGTGATAAGGCATATCGATTGCCACGAGGAAGATTGGCTATCTTCTTATCTTGACAGACACTCAATGACTGGTTCTTATCCCGATATGCAGGGTCAAGCACCTTTGACAGCCGAAACTGGGGACCGGTATCAAATGTGGAGAGCGACAATGGCCTGTTCCTTAGCTCGTACAAACGAACCATGCTAGTCATGTACAGATTGCGGGGGAATCCCAAGATGGGAAGATTAGTCCGGCGAGTGTTTACCGGTTTTGCCCATCACAATAACGAATGTCCGAGGCATAAGAGATCAATTCAATTAAGAGGTGTCGAAGTCCCATCTTATTTGTCAATTGGACTTTATCAATTGTTTGCATATCTTTTGTGTGGCATCAATCATGGGTCTTCTTACACTGGCTACTTCTCTATTGGCGCTTGGCTCAACAGCCACCGCAGCCAATCTTTCCCAACGCAGTAACAACCACAAGTTGACTGCACCCGCACAAAGTCTATTCGACTACTCCATGCAAGTATCGGATTCGCGATATGATGCTAGCTATGGATATGTCTGGTATCAAGATAACGGTCAATGGTCTGTTCGTTTTACAGCTTGGTACATCGCGGGTCTTTTGCATCGTGCGAAGGGTGATGATGTCAAGACTGCTGTTAAAGCAATTGAGAACGTGTATGTCAATCCATGTAAATTGATGGGCAACTAATTGACTTGGCATAGCTTGGCGAATCAATTGAATAGCGACTTTGATTCTGCTTGGTATGGCACTTTTAAGCTTGCGCCTGATGAGCCTGATCCTACGCCAAATGGCATTTTGTATCCTCCCTCCATCTACGGGACATATGATCCCAATTGGAGAGAATTCGTTGGGTAAGTATTTTGCATCGAGACTCAATCGCCCGACTAACAATCTGCAGCACTCAATTGATTCAAGTCGTCGAGGAATTTGGCCATCTCCTCCCCAAGGGCCTGGAATCCCGCATTGAGAATGCCCTTGAAGCCGCCGCAATCGGCGGTATGCGTCGCAACGGTTCTTACCCCCAAGACGACAACCTAATCCTCGGCTACTCCAACCCAGCCATCATGCGAGCCCTCACAACCGGCTGGATCGGCAAGCGCAAGAACAACAAGGAGCTCATCACCTTTGCCAAAGAGCAAGGCGACGATCTCCTCAAGCTGTTCAAGAAGGATGGTCAGAACGTGCTGGCCGAGTACAACGCGCCGAATTACTACGGTATTGATATGTGGGCTCTTGCTGCGAATATCGCATACGGACCCAAGGATATGCCCATGACCAAGAATTCCAAGTTTATTCTTGAGAAGCTTTGGGATGATATTGCGGCGCATTATAATCCTTACCTTGGAAATATGGTGGGACCGTATGATCGTGCTTACAGTCGCGATGCAAACACTCATTCTCAGATTCTTTCCATGGTTCTTTGGGGTTTGTACGGGCGTGGTGTTGGTGGTCAACCACCGCTTGGAGAAGGTGATCTTCTATACGATGTCGCACAAGGTGCTGCTATCGCTCTGGTCCTTGATGTTGTTGCGCCTACTGTTTCCAAGAAGGCGCAGTCTATCATCAAGACCAAGGGTAAGTGGAAGGGCACGCGATTCATCAACAAGACTGTCTACGAGGAACTTGACTCCGAGACTCCTCGTCATGTTACATCTTGGCTTAGCGCCGAGCTCATGATCGGTGGTCAGACCGTCGCTGAGGAGAAGAACCGAGGAAACCAATACGTTCCCGCTATCGTTCAATGGGCTTCAGACCCCGAGCACAAGCCCTACCCATACATGGGCTTCTTCTCACTCTACCCCAGCGCCTCCACGCTGAGCGCCAAGGCAGGACCCAAGACGCTGACGGTTTCTTATCCCAACACTACGCAGGAGGGCACTGACATTTTCACTTTTGCACTGACTGGCATTCCGCCGTCTTGGACACTTGGAAACAAGAATATTGTTACGGGATTGGAGAAGTTGCCTTGTTTGGATGTGAATGTTACTGCGCCGGGGTTGGAGAAGCAGGATGTTGTTTATGGTGCTACGTTGAGGAATCATTGGATTTACAATATTTCGTATGTTGTTCCTGAGGAATTCAAGGGAGTTCCTACTGTTACTCTTGATATGGAATATACTTGCTAGAAAATACTGGCATAGGACCTTCTTAGTTACCCTTCGAATATTTTTGAGTAAATAATTTATAAACTTGTTGATTGACAGGATATCGCACGACAGCATTAAGATTCATTCACAGATGGCAGTTGTCAAACCGTCGTCATTCAATGGCTGTATTCTTCCCCAGATTCAGCCAGAGGAAGTTAGCTGCAGGTAGTAAGTCCTGGCCAACCAACTCAATGTCTCAAAATGACCGCATTATGCCGGACTCAAAGCTAGGCACATCACAAGCAATCCGCCGGTAAAGTTCGGCCATTCTCGAAACTCTGTCAAACAGGATAGTGGTTATGCTAGATAGACTCACTTACACAATATGAGTCAAATGGTCGATGACGCAAGACGTGTTGAGATCGATAGTATAAGACTTTTGCATTCATAGAAAAACTTGGCCAGTGTTATTGCAGACTGTTCTCAGTACCATATCCAGTGAAAACTTATCTTATCACACCATTTTCTCTTGCCTTGTATCAATTCAATATGCGTCTAGTCATTCGAGACAGCCCACAAGAGGCATCCTATTACATCGCAGAGTACATCATCAGTAAGACGCCGCTGCAAAGGTTCTGTCATCACACAGCTAATACATCATTAAGGTCGCATTGTCGCCTCCAACGCCTCAGAAGAAAAGCCCTTCGTCCTCGGTCTTCCCACCGGAAGCAGTCCAATCCATATATACAAAGCCCTCATCGCCGCATACAAAGCCTCAAGAGTATCCTTCCGCCATGTAGTCACTTTCAACATGGACGAATACGTCGGTTTACCTCGCGATCACCCGGAGAGCTATTATTCCTTCATGCACCACAACCTCTTCAAACACATCGACATACAAGAAAAGAACATCCACCTTCTCAATGGTAACGCACCAGATCTCTTCAAAGAGTGTCAAGAATACGAAGATAAGATCAAGTCCTTTGGAGGTATTGAGCTGTTTCTTGGTGGTGTAGGAACAGATGGCCACATCGCTTTCAATGAACCAGGATCTAGTCTGGCCAGTCGCACGAGGGTAAAATCTCTTGCGTATGAGACGAGGATCGCGAATGCGCGATTCTTTGATGACGATATTAATGCTGTTCCGGATATGGCTTTGACAGTTGGTGTACAAACTGTCATGGACGCTCGAGAAGTAGTCATCATCGCGACTGGTGCCTCCAAAGCTTTGGCTTTGCAACAGGCTGTTGAGGGTGGTGTAAGCCATCTTTGCACATTATCTTGTCTCCAACTTCATGCCAAGAGCATGGTTGTGGTAGATGAGGATGCTACTCTTGAAATGAAAGTCAAGACTGTTAATGTGAGTCCTCCCAATTGCATTTCATAGAAGGAGGTGGCTAATTGAATCTAGTACTTCAAGGGCGTTGAAAAAACGATCAAGGAAAAAGAAGTCTTGGGACAACTTCCTCCATCGCCAGCTCTCTCCGCCGATGATAATGACGATGGTGACTTGAAGCCTGATAACATGGCCTCTCGTATATCACCCACTACACGAGTCCGATCCGTCACTTTTCCCATCGGCATGTAACCCGCAATCAATACCCACAGAAGAATATCTCAACCAGGAAATTGGATATGTTGCAAATTGACCTGATCAAAGATCTGCCAAGTGTAGTCGAAGCTGGGATCCATGACCGATGGATGCGCTGGTTGAACATACGAGAAATCAGGCGTGCTGACTTCTTGGAGGCTTTCTTCCAAGCGCGCGATAAGTTTGTCGCAAAGGCTTGGTTTTGGCTCATTCTTTTGTTTCAGGATGTCGAGATGGAGTTTGATGTTTGTCATGTCTGCATAAGAGTCAGTTTAGAAAACAACCAATTAAAGAAATTTCGCTTACCCTCCATTTCTCCAACGCCACCTTGTATACCTTGCAGAACGATCAAAGCAGCCCAAGTAATAATGATCAAATCCCAATTGGACCAGATTGAATCATCATGTTGATGCAGCTTAAGGGTCGCGCGAGCTGACAAAAGTAATTCTTCTTGCTCATGAGATGTAATACTCTGCGCCCATAAATTACCACTTCTAGCAGGATGGTAAATTGACAGTACGAGAAGTCGGTGTAAAACATATTGTCGGAGAACGAGTTTACTGCTTTGATCCGGCTCTGGTGTCTTGCCATTGAACTCCACCAACCAATCGTCTAGCTGTTTCGCCCAGTCTCTAATGAGTACACCGTCGATAGCTGTGAAGCTGGTAGTAAAGTTTTGATTGTCAAATGGTGAATCTTCGAAGCATGACCATATTGTTGGCAACCTTCGTCCCGTGAAGTGACTAAGACCTGTGTGCATCATACGTGATAACTTGTATAGTTGATCGAGAGGGGACATTCGTAGTGTAGCGAGTGGTGCTTCAATGGGTATGACTGGATAGGCGAGATGAATTGACGAGTGTTCGAGGTCAACAATTTGTATACCGCTGAACAGCTTTCGCCATTCCCTCGAAGTGTCGTCGACGTGCGCAGGACAATAGTCCAGCATTAGTCTATAGCCCACAGATATCCAATTGCCAGTCTCTCTTATGTTTCCTTCCGTAAGTAGACCGGCCAGTACTATTCCAAGTACAGTTTGGAAAGACCATTCTTCGCGAGATACAGAAGCCTCGATGGGTCGTCCGATCTCACTACATGGAATGCTCAATTGAGCAATAGCTGTGCATAGGACTGTGAAGAAATGAGGCGCGATGTCGACCATATCTGGTGGACCTCGTGTACTTGAACAGTAGAGTATAGAAGCGAGTAAAACGGGTTGCGGTGCTGAGAATGTCTGTTTGTCGGGCATGAAATGCAATCCGGGCATTCTATCATGGAACCTACAGCACCGAAATGTTATTCATAAAGCAATTAACCAATGGGAAAATAAACAAAGACGTACGATGACCATAGTGACTCCACAGTATCGCGGTGCCATATTTCAGAAGGCAATCCACTGCAACACCTCTGCAGCTGTAGAATCGCATTCCAAAGCGGTCCATCACCAGCCTCAGGCGATTGTTCCTGTACACCAGAAAACATGTCCATACTCATACTACTCTCACCCATAAGACCCAATCGCTCTTCAACAATTTTAAGTCTCGAAAGAACATTATTCTTGAACTCTAGATCCAAAGGTTCAGACGCAGATGGTAATTGCGCTGCATTCGCCCTAGGCACAAAAACACAAGGCAGACCTGCGCGACGACATCGTCTGCACGTTTCGTTATTACCCTGAATAACGCATTTCATCTTCTGCTTGCGACAATTGACTAGGATCTATAATTAGCGCATGACATCTACAAGGGTCTGCTGTGTACGTACTGCAAGCCTTGCGCGCTTTGAGCGCTCCAGACTCGTCGCTTTGATGCCGGGAATCTTCGCCGAAAGTCATTGTGCGTTTTGTTTCTGGTCGTATGTCTGCGAATGTAAAAGTGGATGATGCGGGGGAGAAAACAGCGGCCAAGTGGCCGGATATCACCTTGTATGTTTCGGTTGGTGGTCTAGTACTAAAGTGGCTGGGAGCCGAGGTTGGCCGGAGTTCGGACCGTACATCGCCGGATGTGGGGCCATACTTTTTCAGGATACGGCGATTAACATGGCTCCGGAAACTTTGGCAATTTTGGTGTTAGTCCTTTGGCACTTGTACTCTGCATTCTCCAAATACCGTTCATGTGATGTTTTTGTCATTTCGTCTCAGTGATCGGAATTAATTATGTTGGAAAATGACTTTGGAGATGGCCATTTGGCGACCGTTGATTCTATCATCAAACAACTTGAAATTGATGGTGACAAAGTTCAAAAAATCACGAATCACTTCGTTCAGCAAATGCGTATGTTTAATGTACCTCTTCAATATCGTCAATTGTCTTGCTAATCAGACCTATCAGAACATGGTTTAAAAGCCAAGCATTCTTATCAGATACCTTCATTCGTCACAGAGATACCAACTGGCCACGAGAAAGGATTGGTTCTCGCCGTTGATCTTGGTGGTACGAATTGTCGCGTCTGTGCTGTGAATCTACATGGCGACTCTACCTTTGATGTGTTTCAGAGAAAACACATTGTTCCCCCCGAATTGAGAGTCAACGAAAGCTACAAGCCTCTCTTTGAGTTCATCGCTTTAAAAATTGGAGATTTTCTACACGAGTATGCACTCGAAATTCGGAAGGGGGATTTGAAGCAGCAGACTTTTAAGCTGGGATTCACGTTCAGCTTTACTTGTGAACAAACTTCATTGTCTCAAGGTACACTCGTGCACTGGGATAAAGGATGGGATATTCCAAGCGCTGTAAATCAGGACCCTTGTTCTTTATTACAAGCAGCAATTGACGAAATCGCGTTGCCAGTACGTGTGTGTGTCTTGTCGAATGATGCTGTCGGGACGCTTCTCACAAAAGCATATACTGCGAAGAAGTCCGACGCCACGTTGGCAGCTATAATCTTGGGCACAGGCACCAACGCTGCCTATGTCGAACAAATCTCACATATTCCAAGACTGGGACTTGATGAGAAGACAATGGAGAATGGAGTCATGGTCATCAACACAGAATGGGGATCTTGGGACGATGAACTGGCGGTTCTTCCTCAGACGCGTTTTGACAAGCTGATAGACCAGAGCTCTTCCGACCCTGGGTGTGGTCTGCTAGAAAAGATGGTCTCTGGTATGTATTTGGGCGAGCTATTACGATTGATGCTTCTCGCATTGATTGAAACAGGAGACCTCAGTCTTACCCTTGATGAAAACAGCCCGGCGCATCGACACATGGGTATCGAAACAGCATTCTTGACAAGGATTTCTGCATTCACAGCAGAAGATACGCAAGGTGCACTGGCATACGTGACGGAAAACCTTGTGACGAAGGATGCGACAATAAAGGACTTGCGACTATTGCAGACGCTCGCGAATGCAATTATCATAAGGTCTGCTCGATTAGTCGGTGCAGGTCTTGCAGCAATTCTTATCCAATCTGGAAGACTGCAGCCAACAATTTCCACACCGAAAACGACAACCATAACACATGCGCAAGAGATTATCGCAAAGCCAACCAAGCAAGGAAACAATAGTACAATTTCCTCAGTCGTCAGATTCATCAAAAGCCTTTGCGGTTGCATCGCGCCCGACGCAGAGCCGTCGCTGCCCACGAGCAAATCATCATACGAGTCGGAAGAAATGGTCAACTCGACAGTGCTGATGGATGAGGAAATTAATGTCGCTGTTGATGGCTCATTGTTTGAGTTTCATGCAGAGTTTGAGAAGTTAATGCGTGGCGCGCTAAGAGATGTTGCGGAGGTTGGACGGTCGCATGAGGGAAGGATAAAAATAGAGCTTACGAAGGATGGATCTGGAACGGGTGCTGCGCTGATTGCGGCTGTTGCCAATTGATGATGGAATCAAGTCTAGTGCATTATTCTATCAGAAGTTATCTAATGAGACAACAGCTATATTAAATTCCCAGCATAGTTTAGACCCTGATACTTGTACTCTCGACCGCGTATGTTCTCATGGCATTTGCCCGAGTTCTTGTCTTGAAGATGCTGCCTGTCAAAAGCTTACATAGGCCACGGCTGCAGTGGGTAATCCTTGTCTTTCATCTGCTGAAGGGTATCGTCGACCGACCGCACAGGAGAGAGGATACGCCCCTGTGACTCGAGATATTGATCCCCTGACTGGATGTCATAAATTCGAGCCACACGATCAGCCTCACTAAGACAATCGGGTAGCTTGACAAGACCCAGGTCGCGTGAGAGGAACCAGTACTCCCATACACCATGCCCCATCTCGATACACCTATCACTAACTTTGTCCAATGTATTTTGACGGTCGTGAGGTAGACCTGGATTGAAGTCGCACCGCAAGACGTTTGAAGACTGATTGACCAGCTGCATAACGGCTTCCTCGAAACCAAGTTCTGAAGCGTACGCAAACTTGCGTATCAAACATCGAACTGCTTCATTCGATTCATGTCTTACTAGACCTGCTTTGAGACTGTACTCCCAAGCTTGAACGCGAGCAATGCTACCATGGACCAGCTGGTCAAAAGCCTTCGTACAGAAATCTGCATATGGACCCGAATCCAGTTGCAAGGAGAAAGAGTTGGAACGAATGCCAGCATTAGCCACTGAAAGAGCATCAAGTAGCCAATATGAGAGGTTCGACACAAATCTCTCGCCAACATATTTCGAGGGCAGCCCTCGGAGAAGACCGTTTTGAACAAGCCTGATGGGTGGATAGAGATCCATCATACAGTCGACGATGCTAACGCGACGCTGTACATTCAAGTTGGTGTACTCCCTCAGCAGAGGAACCAGCCCATGGCCATGAAGCGACACTATATTGACTGCGGGGAGGTCTTCGTGCAGATTAATCGTACGGAGCTGCTTGCGTTGATGATGCGGTAGTAGTCTAATGAATCTGATAGCGGCGGCAGCGGCAGAGAACCTACTCCTCTCGCGGATGCGAAGATGAAAGTCGACTGGAGGGTTCTCGTAATGGTGAGGGCAATGAGTTGTACCTACGACCTCTATAAGGTCCTCCATGAATTGATGAGCTCAAGACAGGCACGGAAGATGATGGTCAGATAAGCTGCAATTATCTCTCGACCTAGCTTGAGAGCATCAGCAGGGATAAGATCGACACCGGGGGTCTTCTTCTTATTCAGGCCGCTGATGATCTTCTTGATCTCCGTGTCCCCCAACGACTTATCCATTTTAAGGACCTTGCGATCGGGTGGTAAATCTGGCAAAGGAACGACTTCTGGCTTGTCATTATTGGCCCATATTGACTTGGCCATCAGAGCGATCTTGGCCTCGGGAGTAGAGTGCTTGTCGCCGTGCGAATCGAAAAGTGCGGGCATGTTCTTGATGATTCGTGGCTGCGATCGCACTTTGCCAATTTTGACTGCCTGCCAAGTCCCGTTTGGAGACTGCGCAACCTTATCAATGAAGGTTTTCTCCTTGTCCCTGTCACGTTTCAATGCTTCGCGATACTGTTGTTGTGCGACAGAGTTTGGGATGGTGTGAGCCGGAGCGGGAGCAACACCATTACCATCGATAACCTGCCGTTCGGGGAGAGACATTGGTTTGTCAATTGGTGGTGGGAACGCCAAACTCGTTGGGACAGTCGTGTTGATGGCATGCATTATTGTTGCCGTAACATGCTTGAGCTGTTCCTCAATAACCGCTGGAGTGAGCTTCAGCTTCTTCAATTCTTCAACGTTGAGTTCTTTTTCCAAGATCGCGTTGAACTCCTGCTTGTCCGTATCCTCGTAATGGAATTTGAGTGTATCGTCGCGTTCCACTTGCAGATCGAGGATGGTTCGTATCGGATGATGGTCGGTGTTAGGCCAAGGATTGTACAGGCTGCGTGGGCTTGCCGTGGCACCGTCTTCAGTAGGCTTGGGTGGGAAAACCGAGCATGACTTGACGGAACTCTTCAGTGAAGAGCTGACAAAGGTGAGGTAGATGCATGAGCGAGTGACGTTGTTTTTATTCTTCGCAAAGAATGTCTCGGTACCAGGGTCTGTGGCCAAATCCATACCAGTGGCCTGCATACCTTCATGAAGCGTTCTTGATGTACCTGAGACAGCTGCGGGATCGCCTCGGTAAAGTGAGGCAGACCAGGACGGGTGGTGAAGGTTGAAGTCGCCCCTCACAATATCACGTCCAGATCGCGTGGTTGTTGCGAGCAGTTCTTCAATGTGTTCGATCGTCATGGCCTTATCCGGCTGGTTGGGGTTGTAGACAGCATGTATGGCGAGATCTCCTCCATTATCTCCAAGAGCAAGATGTAGAGTTGCAACCATGCCAGCATTCTTGCCCTCATGCCACTCAACATTCCAAGATTCTCTTGCGATGGATTTGTGAACAAGGAAAAATACTCGAGCCATTTTGACAGGAGAGCCTTGAGATTCGTCATCGGCAGGATTTGAAGACTTGGGCTTCCGGCCTTTCCCTCGACCCTTCTTGAGGTGTCGATTTGGGTCGTCTGGGTTGTCGCTTTCAACAAGTGCGCGATCAGCCTGCATCTCGAGATGGTATTGCCCTGTACTCTTCCACGCGGCCCGCGTGGAAACGTCGCAACCGATGATGATGTCGGCATGTCTGTTTGTAGATGCCTGGAAGTCGAGAAATAGTTTCTCTCGACCACGAGAACCCTTGAAGTTGGCTTGATCGAGGACAAGGCGCCTACTGCCAGAGGCCTTGTTCACTTCCTTGTGCTCTAGTCGAGCAGCACGAGTCGCCCTGGCAGCTAGCTTGGTTCTGGGTTTGTTTCCAATAATGGAAGATGTGGTGGTATATGGTGGTGGTCGCAAAGAGGATTGAAGGGTGGGGATAGCGTTTGGAGGACGAATGAAAGCCCGAGGACCGTTTTTGAAGCGGATAATCATGGTCGTCTCATATAATGAGTTAGCAGAAGGATCCAAGGTCGGATTGAGAGACGAGATAACCCTTACCGTGAAGCTGCAGCGGTGTAGCAGCAGATGTATTTCTTAATTGCATTGAAGGGTATAAGCGGTGACAAATGAGAGCTCGTGGCCTGTACAGAAACCAGTTCGGGACAGGGAGTGACTTAGGGTAGGTTGGAGGGAAGCACTGGCCGGCAGTTTAAAGGAAAGCCTGGGGTAGTGAGATCGGTGTTTGGGCGGTGCCAAAGTAGTAGGAGAAAGGATGTTGGAGTAGTCGGGTCATAAAGATCGTAAGAGAGAAAGAAAAAAAAAGATGGTCTTGTAAGAGAGATAAGAAATCAATCAGCAGAAGTGATATGATGATGAACGATGGTAGAGAAGTAATAATGCTATGAAAAACATATAATGAACTGAGAGTAGGAAAAACGACGCGCCCTAGTAGAGGTGGGAAAAGAAAGTAGTGGTAATGGAAAGAGATGCATTGGAAAAATACATGATGTATTGGATGAAGAAGCGAGAGTTGAGTTGGGAAACCATGCCGTTTCTAAGCTGATTCCTGTGATAAGTGTCGAACCTGCCTTGTTAATTCGAAGTCACACCCTCACACAGGAAAGAGACAACATCAGTCGATGTTGTTGTCGACCTGTGTTTGCCGCTCTTGCCAAGTCAGCTGGCTTCTCTTGGAGTTCACGATGCTGGCAGGGAGTAAACACAAGCATAATCCCTAGTCCAAGTAATAGCGTGAGCCTCGAACGGTCGGCATCTCTTCTCACTCCACTCAGGCGTCATGATTCCATTCCATCACCAGGGCAATATGGTTGTTTACCACTATCCCAGAACATCGAATATCACCAACATGGTTCATTGCCTCTTGCTTGAATGGAGGGACTTACACGCTGGGGCCTAATCGGGAAAATTTGTCGTAATGTGGAGCGATCTACATTTTGTTAATTTCCCTTATGGAGTCCTGCGGTGCACCGATAATTATAACCCTGCACGTGTTCATTGCAGGGTTTAGCGAGGAACCTAATCCGCTGCCAAGTTAGTGGTTACGCTATTGATGCAGGGATACTGATGCAACCTTGCAGCTGCAGATCAACGAATGTTTGGTACACCAACAGCAATCAATTGAAGCAATTCCCAAATTGCAATGTCGCACTACACATGGCACGTAGATTAATTGATTCCGAGACTGATGGACTCCAAAAGACGGACGCAATTCTCGGGCGACCTGAGTTTCCCTGGCGACACGTCTAACAGGCTCTGTGACATTCAGCGACAATTGTCGGAACCTGCCCATCTACTGACGCTAAGCAGGACATGTATGTCCGCCTTCGGTTTGGTCTATCATTTACCGTGACGACAGTATCGTGCCTCGTCAATGTCGCTGCATAAAATAGTATGAGATAGCATCTCGAGAAGTCCCAAAATCTTACACAAGACATCTCAATCAACCAGCTTATCTTCAATCTTTACTATCCTACCTTTTACTATTCTACCCTCTCAATATGTCATCTCTACCATCCTCTCAGACCACCATGGACTCACCGGACCCTGCATTCAATTATCCTCAAGGACTGGAGAAACTATATATCACCTTTCTCGCGCCCCTCGTGGACGAACTACGTCGGCTGCGTCTTTCGCAGGAACAACACAGCCAGCAAGTAGCAAGCCTTCTGTCACTGGTCGAAGATTGCAATGCCTGTGCCCACGAACCTTCCCCAGCCTACGAGACGCAAGAAAAACTCGAAGCTCTTGATCAGAAACTGGAAAGCCTCAGTTCCCGCCTCGAGAACCTCGACATGGGAAGCGTCAGCTTCAGCGGTACAGACAAGACATCACTCGTCATGAATGAAGTCAAAGGTCTCCGCGATTATATGACCGACTCCATGGGTGATATCCAGTCGCGCCTGTGTGCGCTTCGCGAGGATCTCCCCGAGCCAGAGGAGCACAGCATCAAAATTATTATTCGAGATCCTGCTGAGAAGATCGATAGCATGACAGTACAGGAACGTCTTGACGCTGTTCGTGAGCTCGGCAATGCTTTCGCCGATGTCATTTCTGTTCAGTACCACAATAATGGCGGGCTAGTTACTCCTGATGCAAAGCGCCGCGACGAATGCTTTCTCCTCATTTATTTCGGAGCGTTTGAAACCGAACTTGATGCCCGAAAGGACATGAGTGGCGTTCGCAGTGCTTTTGAGCTCACCGACAAGTCCACTGTGAAGCCTCCAATTTATGTCGTCGAAATTGAGAACGGTTTCCAGAAGGGAGCAAACCTACCTGGCGTATCGCCACAGGCGAAACTGGAAAGCATTGTAGACGGCGTCTTCCCTTTCGAAATATACGGACATTTGAAACCCGTGTCTTCTTTCAACCACTGGTATCTGGAAACGGAAAGTTTGCAGATCGTTATGATGTTAGCAGACACTACAGTGAGATTCAACAACGGATACCATAAACTCATGTAAGTATTGATTCTCTGAACTTTCTAGACACCTAAGTCACTGACATATCGTTTCAAGCCCTTCACTCCGTCAGGCCAGACCTGAGTTTTGCTATAAATGCGGGAAACCCGGTCACAAGAAGTCCGAGTGCACGCAGGATGAACGGCACTGCATGAAGTGCGGGGAAGACCATGACACTGCCAATTGTCCCCTGACAGACCGGAAGACCTTCATCTGCTCTAATTGCGGAAATACGGGCCACGGGTCCTTTTCTCCATTTTGTCCACATACGGAATCGGTGCAGGAGCACCACAGGGCAAGAACGTTCCGCAAATATGGCCCTTACTGGGCAAGAATGAATGCCGGGCCTCGCAAGCGCGGCAGACGCTCCAAAGCTGAAAAGGCTCTGCAAGATGATATCGATCTGAAGCGAAAGAGGATAGACAATGAGGGTATTAGTCACGGAGTGTCTGAGGAGCAATCAACCTCCAAGCGTGCCAAGATAAAAGGTCACCACGACATCAAGGACATGTTTGCATAGAAGGAGATCGCGAACGCGAAGTCTGCCGGTGAACCTTCTTCTTCTCAGACGACTGTGGCATCCAGCAGCTCACAGGGTCAAAGCCCGTCGCAAGACACCATTGGTAGCTCAGACGGGAAGGGTGCCAGCAATAAGAGCAAGGGTAGATCGAACGACAATACGAAGTCCACCGACAGTGAGGAGTTGAAGGCAATTGCTCAGCCTGTCATTCCAATCCAATCCCAGGCGGTGGTGAATCCGGAGTCCCAGATCCCATCTGCACCTCTTCCTCAGGCAGCAATTGTGGAATCCAGCTCTACGCTACCTCCACCATCTGGCTCCAGCTCTCGGTCCAAAAGGAACAACAAGAAGCGCAAGGCGGGTGACAAGAGGCAGGCGAAGTCGGGCGAAACAGGTGAGATTGGAGCTGCGCCTTTAAACGCTGGAACAGGATCCCAGGCAGTTACACTTCCCTCAGAGACTGTTCCATCGTTGGTCGACCAGGCGAAGAAGAAGGAGCGTGCGAAGAAGCGCGCTGGGATCAAGCGCAAGATGGATGAGTCGAAGTCACCAAGCGCTGCTGTGCCTGGAAATGCAGGCAATGCCTAATCGTTGTCAGCTTTTCCCTTTACCTGTCCACGGCTAACGTGCCACGTTCCGTTCTTTTTACCTTGAGCATATTTTCTTTATTTGTTGTACAAGTCGCTCTCTTTCCGATATTTTTTATTCCTTTTGTCGCATTTAGCTAGAGACTAGCCTTGAACTTTTTTTTTTGGTCCTTCAGAAATTGTTCTATTGCAATTGCCTAATAAGCATGCTGTTTAAATCCCAATCACGTCTGTTGATTGTTGTATATCCAGAAACATACTCTTCGCTTCGGGCGACAGAGGTTGTTCCGGCGTGGGCGTGTTCCCGTGACTGTTCAGTGGGTTATAGTGGGATCAGGGTGGTCTTCCAACACTCGCACGCCAGCGTAGATTATCCAGCCAATCAGAGGCGCTGTGACCTGTTTGGTGACCTCATTTTACAAGAGGCAATGTGAAGATGGACCTCTTCACCAGCAATTGCATCAGCGTAAGCTGAAAAAAAAAAAAGAAATAAGACACTGTGGAAGGCCAAGTGTTGACTTTATTGAGATAGACACTCGCGACCGGACGGGCAGAGATGGTGAGGGTATTGAGGATGTACAGTAGCGTCAGTACGTACCCTAAATGCCTGTCGATCGTACCTATCAGCATACTGATTAAAAGAATACATTTAAGTTTCAAACTTTAATATTAGAGAATAGAAAGTAGTAATATAATTTAAATTATTTCCTCTTTTTGCTTTCCGTTCTATATTCTAGATATTCTTTTGCTATCTTACAAAGTAAAACCAGTATGGTTGAAGGGTGATATCATTGTAGCATTGTTCCCTTGTATATACACGCTTTCAAGAACCGAGAATTCATTTACCTATTGACACAACTCCGATAAAACATCCGCGACGCATATCGATTGCAATGCAGAGTGCAACGGAAGAGTGCCTGTACTAAAGCTTTAATCAACACGTAGTCATTATGTCCATTTCCGAGGAGGCCAGGCTGCACTTGGCGACGGCGCTGGACTCACAATCGAATAATTATCGGGAGTGAGATAAGATAAGACGAGATAAGATAAGATCTCCATCCTTATGCCAGGTACAGGGGTTTCTCCAATAAATCGCACCCCATCAAATGAACAGAGCTCGACAGTTGAAAACCTTCTATGTGACGAAAATGAAACTCAAGAGCTTTGAAGCTGTCATTTGAGCTGCAAACCTGCACATTAAGACGACGAGTTTATTCGAATTATAAAGAGCTCGTACCTAAACTGGACGATTACTCCCGAAACTGTAGTCCTGAGCTAACGAACTGTTCAATATACCTATAGGATACTGGATAAAGTCATTCTTTCTACCATACGCTGTCCTTGAAAGACTGACATCGTCAACTGTGTCTCCCAGTCGAGCTGAAGGTTTGATGTCGCTTACAGAGGCTGATATTGTTTTGTTGGACTGAAGGGGTACACAATTCAGATGGAAGTATGGAGTGTATTTTCTGCCCAAACTAACCTAAATATCGCAGCAAGGTCAAGCAGAAGGTCCTGCGTGAGCATTGAATTTATGGTGCTCGAAAGAGTGTTATTGAAGATAGAAAGTTTATTACGAGCTGTCTCCCGATCATCACTTGGTGTTGCAAATACTCCCTAGGCTCAAAATCAGAATCTCTGACAGGACTAGTCCGTGGAGAGCTGGTAGAAAGACCAACCTCGTCCGAGCTGTGACCGGCAGATAATGTTCCTGTTTCAAGTGTCGCTGAGATTGCTGATAATGGCATGCTCTGATTGTAAATCGTCGTAGAGCCTTTTCGATGAACGAAGACGGCTCTAAGCTGTCCAAACCCATCTCAAAGCTTGCGAAATCCCTCAGTCTCGTCGATGACCAGACAGTAAGGACAGTTCATAGTGCTTAACAATGTGAGACTGTTGAGTTGCATGTTTCGAATTGGAGTCCAGCGATGAGCCAAGAACTGGCGCTTTTCAAGGCAGAGAAGCAGGTGCACCTCCTTCTGGCCTCGACGCCTAAGGTCAACCCTCAAAGATAACTGTTAAAATAGAGTTCTTGCACCCAAAAAGAATTATACCTACGTGGGACTGTGCGATTATCCACTGAGGATATTGACGAGGCCTTTAAAAAGCTGGACGAGACAGAACCATCGTTGGAAGATCCGGAGTTCGATCGGGCAGCTTCCGTCAGCAATCATCAGACAGTAAATGCAGGTGGGTTTGGCCAGCAGAATTGGCCTGTTGCAGGCCACGATACATTTAATTTAGGTCACAACATCAGTAGCGGAACTGTGAACAACAATAGATAACCTCCTTTTAATAAGCGAAAAGAAAGGAGAATAAGGGCTTGGGAGCGCAGTACCTTATGATCGAATTTCAACTATAAGGTTCAATTTATAGTAAGCTGTTTGTAGTCAAACTCTACTTATTGGAAACAGAAATGCTATGCTATTCAACTGTAGATATGGTGAGATGCCGCCGCAATTTCTCAAAAACGATCTAAGCAAGGCTGACGGTAGCTTTCGATGTTTGCACAGAACGGGCGGTGCCGGACGCGGCAGGCACTCATTCCAGATGAGGCAAAATCTAACCTAGGCCAGTTTGTAGTCGTGGGCCCGGCTGGTGTTGAGGACTCCCCGCCGACTCTTGCAGGAAAGAAAGGGTCCCGCCCTTGAGATATGTCGCCCGCGTTCTTACTGATTATCGTAACAGACACCAGAGACCAAGACAAGTTTTCGACGAGCTTGGGTCAAAGTACAAACAAGACAATGATGTAAAAAGCTCGGATAAGTTCCGTAGATGATTCAAGAAGACATGGAAGGGTGTAAAAAGACGTCAGGTAGAGGGCCTAATAAGCAATGTCTGGGCTTGTATGGTCAACCTGGCGACTCAGCAGGACATTGAGGGAATCAGGCAGGCACTTGAAAATATTTTTCATGCAGAGACATCTTTAGACGATGTAGCCACGGAGTCATCAAGCTTGATCTATGCAACGCAGAATGTGAACATAGACCCAAGTTGGACTTTCTCTATAGGGTGTTACATTCCACTTTACAAGTAATATCTAACTCATCAAATATTTCAGGTCTCGAATAACAGCCACTCTGGAACATCATCGTGATGGTATGCTTAACCTTGTTAAGACTGCATGTCTATATATACAACTTGTTCATTTTGCTATTACTGTTCCTCAGGTTGTTACAGAAAGGATTCACAAGGAACCCGAAATTAGCTTCCGTGGAAAGAAAACATATTATTATCCTTGTCAAGTGCTACAAAAAGATGATAGTGACGTGATGGCAAAGAGACAGAATTAGCTATTCGGTCTATGAAGCAACTAGTAGTGCAAGAAAGCTGACGGCTGCCCCGATGTCTGTGAACCTAAGCCGCGCCGGACCCTGACATTTCCTGACGAATCTCCTAGAGCTCTACATTGCAGTTAGAAATAAAGCAGGCCTCGACTTCATACCCTTCTCACTTTCTAGCGTTTAACTCAGAAAGACGGAATGCTCCAAGACGCCAGCTAGGTCATGTTGATCCAAGCAATTTTATCGTGCCCATCATCTGATATTGGATCCCTGTGAAACCTTGGATAGCCTGGGATATCCAAGTTACAGCAACTGACGGTATAGCGGGCTCATGAAGTGGACGTCAGCCACCTGCGTTTAGCTTCAGCTGAGAAGCAGGCGTCATCGTGGTAAATTTTTCTCTGGGGGCTGGCAAATCCAAGTGGTATCTTCAGCTTCTGTTAGCTGGAAAAACGGAGGTCTATCTTCAAAAAGAGCTGTCATACGCTCACACAACGATGGTGGCCGCGAGGTGAATGAGGTGTTAACTGCATGCGTATAAGCATCGAGAGGTGTGCAGGAAAACGGCCGTTTTCAAACAAATTAAGTATCCTGGTCAAGATGTGTGGAGATTCCAACTTTGAGTCAACAGGCGCCACGGACGACGCACTACGGCCCGCCGTCCCTCCACTAGGTGCTCCGACCCAGGTTAATCTCAAATAAGAACATCTCCGTCCAAATACATCGTGCCAGCTAGCTCATCTCTGGTGATTGCACAGCACTCATTCGCAAAAGGACCGGGATATTTTGCAACTCGTTTCTGTCGTCCAGTGATGAGTGGAAGCCGTTACACTTGACGACGAGGCAAACGAGTGCGATTCGCTGGGTTTCTCAACTTTCCACGACCTGTATTGATATGCAAGGACAAGTCGTGCGGGGAAAATTGCGACTGAGCGTTCCTGAAAACGATGCCAGCTGTGCGGTAAGCCACGCAGCCGACGACCCTCTTCCTAGCGAGACAACGAGGTTGGGCTCTAGTGCTGAATGCGAGCCCGTCATGTCGAAAGCTGATATCGCTCACAGAGGTACCATCAGGATGAAAGCTTGCGGCCGGGTCACCTTTTCTTCTGTTATTGGCTCTTGTGGCTCAATCAATGGGCTGCAGGAAGTTGCTTCAGTGTCAAGGACTTGGTCAAAACTTCACTGATTAAGGGGCAGCAGTAGAGCACCCTCATCCGGACTAGACGTTGGGAAATGAATATTCTATACGCTGCGCTGTATTATGATAACGTAAACACAGCAAAAGGAGATATTACAGACCAAGAAGATACTGCATTATTAAGCTGAACCTTTTGCATAGCAGAAATAAGGTCCATCTTAAACAAAGAGGCAGAGGTTAAACACCGTTCTATTGATAGAGAGTGATAGTCGGCAGGGAATCGATCAATATCTGGCCTCCATTACGCCAGAGCTTTTTAATAATTGTCAGGTTGCACTTGCGTCTATCGTAGGGCCCTGCCGCAGCGCGGTTGTGGCCCGCTGCAAATAACGGGCGCATTGACGGGCATCTTATTACCAAAAATAACACAAACGAACGGCCATAGAGATGTGAGCGCGTTCTGGGTGCTCATCCTTGCCTCGATAACTACTATCGGCTGTAAAATGTGTGCAAATGACCGCTGCTGGCTCAGTGTTCCTTGCAACTATGACAGGGAGACTGCCCGGTATTGGCTTGTGG